TAATGTACATGTATAATTAGCATTTTTTTTCACAGGGGTTCCATTTATAACAACGATTTCCAAATATATACTTCCATGGCTCCTTGGCATAAATCTCTATTTATATTCATTTTGTTTTTAACAATTTCTATATTTAGTTCATCTTTTTTTGTTACCTGTTTAAGTATTTTTACATTATCCCAGTCAATAACGTGTAGAATTTGCCACATGTTCCGCCAAAGCCGATTCACCTGTTTTTAGTTTATCCACCACATTTTGATGTTCTTTTATTCTAAATTTTAAGTTCCTACTTGTCTGTCTAATATAACTTAGACCACAAGTACGTGAAGTTTTATATATACCACATTTATTTCTTAATTCAATTTTATCTTTCAAACCATTAATTATATGACTTAATTTTAATTGAGGAGTAAATGCTACTTGGCAATTCATATTTTGCCTAAACACAAATATTAATTTCAATGAAAGGCTAGAACTTATTAGAGAAGAACGTTTTTTCTTGTGATTTATATTTATGCAAAATTAGTTTATAATCTGTCATGTAGTGCAGTCTCAAGCAAAACGTTTCTTTAAAATGTAGTTATTCAACAGTAAAATGTATACCATGGAAACGTTGTTGATTATATCTAAAATAATAATATAGTTTCAAATTAAACATTTGTGTTGGACATTACAATGTTAGAAAAATTAGCTTAGCTTATTCTTAATTGTTTTCAGTTTACGTCAAGATTATATATTTTACTCAAATAAAAGTTGATGTAAACTAAAACTGATCTTGTACAATAGTACTCTTTGTACCTTTTGCTCTGGTGGTTTTGTTTTTGTACCTTGAAGAAAAATACAATGTTTAGGATGTTTAACAGAAACTGGTGTTAAAATCAGATGATATTTTTGACAGTGCTTCCCAACAGTCCTTGGTCTCTACGGTCTACAGAGAAGACTCCAAACAGTATTAAGCTTGAATGGTTACACCCTAAGAACTTTGAATACTGGAAATTTGAACCTGGTCTCTACTATGAACTCAGTTACAGACCCAAGTTTCTTGAAGACCAAGAATGGAAGGTTTGTTTAGAGATATTTCATAAGTTAGGCTTAATATTATAGATCACATGTAGTGAAAGCAAACAAAAAAACATTAACTTCAGATAAGGTTGTTCTCATCTTTTACCATACATCATTGAAATTCAGGAAGTTTAACATGATAAGGCCTAATAACTCTTTACCAAGTAGAATTATTGATCAACCCCCATATTTTGAAAACCATTTGTAAGTAATTTTATATACTACTTTGCTGATAGACAATGGCATGTGTGATATAGTTTACTTTTCTTTTTTTTTTCTACCAAGAGACTATACAAATGAAATACTTTTTTAAATTGGGTGCACCCTAGAATTTGAGATTGTCTTTGTTTTGTCTATAGGTATGTTAACATGGAACTCAACAAAAACATTATTTAATCATTGAGTTGAGCAAGAAATACACATGTTAAAAGTAATTATAGTTAAATTTTTTGATATTATGTGTACATTAAAATGTGCAATAGGTTCATGTCTTCTTGTGATTTTAGTTATTTGTAATATTAACTTTGATGCCATTTGCTTCTTACAGAGTACTTGTAATAAGTTAATACCACTTGTTCCTGTAGAATATTTATTTATAATGTTAAATGTGTTACCATTTGCTTCCTACAAAGTACTTGTAATAAGTTAATACCACTTGTTCCTGTAGAATATTTATTTATAATGTTAAATGTGTTACCATTTGCTTCTTACAAAGTACTTGTAATAAGTTTAATACCACTTACTTCCTGTAGAATATTTATTTGTAATGTTAAATTTCATACCATTTGCGTCCTACAGAATACTTTTTTTGTAATACTACTTGCATCATCTGATCTTTTTGTTTGTATTGTTAAGTTTGATATCATTTACTTTATGTAAAATATTTTTGTAGTGTTAAATTTCATTCCATTTGATACAACTTTCTTCCCATAAAATATTTGCAATGTTGAGATTGTTATTAATTATTCTCTGTTTATTGTTTCAGTGAAGGATTTTTATGCAATACATTTTTTTTGTCAATATTATAATAGATTGTCAGTATAGGAATTGGAAAACAAATGTACAATGTCACAGGATTAATTCCAAACACTGACTATGAATTATCAGTACGTTGTCGCTCTGCTGAAGCAGATCAGGAAGATATGTGGAGTAAGCCTGCTAGAACATCTGAACATACTGACCCAGATGGTAAGCATGATACAAAATAATATTGATCATTAATGCTTTTATCCATTCTAGGTTAAAGAAATGTATTGAAAAAAAAGTAAAGATCTTTATTTTAATTTAAGACAACTGTACTCTAAATTTGGAAAATGTGCTTTAGATTTAACATCATTTATTGTGTTTACTCAAAATTTTTCCTATTTAATTAAAAGATGTGTAATATTTACTGTAGGTTTATTGCAAAAGTACAAAATATTTAAAATAACTTTAAGATTTAGGTTAGGCCTAATTTCATTTTTTCCAGTAGATAAAGTATTTTGTTAACTCTTTCAGCATGGGCTCAGTCCCTGGGACTGAC